GACTGAGGGTGGAATCACAACCTCCCAATCGCCCTGCTCTGTGTATGACAGGGGGCGGTGCCCCAACTCCCCAATCAGCCCTGCTCTAAGCCCGAGCAGGGGCTGCACCTAGGGATTGGGCCTGCCCTCTGCTACCCGGGAGCAGGCCTAAGCCAGCAGGTCATTATCTCCCGAGGGGTCCCAGACTGTGAGAGGGCACAGGCAGGTCTGAGGGACCCCCCTCCCCTGCCGAGTGCACAAATTTTTGTGCACCGGGCCTCTAGTATACTATAATAAAGGTTATATGAATGTGGTCTTCCAACTGTTTTATTGTACTGTGCTTACCCTTGTGATGTGAGATGATACAGTGCCTATGTGATAAGATGAAGTGAGGTGAATGACAATGGCATTGTGACGTGTAGTGTTAGGCTACTATAAAGGTTCCTTGAACAGAAGCACCGACACAGTCAGTGTGATAACTGAGACAGCTACTAAGTTATTAACAGATGGGTGGGATAGCATGTGTGGATATGCTAGACAAAGGGACAATTCATGTCCTGGGTAGGATAGAGCCGGGTGGCATGAGATTTCATCACACTACTCAGAGTGCATTTTAAAACTTAAGAATTGTTTATTTCTGGGATTTTTCATTTAATATTTTTGGGTTGCAGGTAAGTGAAACTATAGAAAGCAAAACCATGGGCCAAGGGAGTGTGGGGGGTGGCACCTGGTAGCTACTGTAATGACTATTTTGATGGAATTACATAACATTAGAAAAACTACTCAGTAAAAGTAAAATTATTTATTTATTTTTGTTAATACACTGAAATTTTATTTGTTTGTTTAATCCTAACCCGAGGAGTGAGGATATTTTTCCCATTGGTTTTTCGAGAGAGCGAAGCGGAGGGGGTATAGGGAGGAATATCAATGTGAGAGAGACCACATTGGTTGGTCAATTGGTTGCCTCCCGCTCTCGCCTAAACAGGGCCGGGTATTGAACCTGTAACCAAGGTATGTGCCTTTGACTGGGAATTGAACCCCGGACCCACCCTTCAGTCCAAAGGCGGATGCTCTAACCACTGATCCAAACCAGCCAGTGCTAACATTCTTTAGAATGGTTATTGCAGTATTATCTTTTTTCTATTTTGATCCAAATATGGAATTGTAATTTTGGCCACTTAGAGTACCAAGGTTTTTTTTTTTTCAGAAATAATAGAACAATATTCAATTTTCAGAAAATACATAGTAGTATATTATATTATTTGCTGTGGTGTAAAAGCACCAAATAACAAAAAAGTAGAGAAGTTATTACTATTAAATAAGAATGTTGATTATATGTATAAATTATATGTACTATAGATTTAAAAGTCTAGTCCTTATCAAAAGATTTCAGGTAGTCTCATTAAAACAGCAAGGAATTACAGGCCAGTATTACAGTAATATAAGAAAACACTCATGTGGCAGATGACATTAGAAGAAAACCTACAAATGAGAAAAATAAATCAGGCTATTGCTTGGAATATACTTTAGTCTATAATACTATAAGAATAGTATAGACTGGTCATATGTAGATTTGCCCCATATAAGGAAATGAATAGAGACTTTGTTATGGAGTAGACTCCTTAGTGTTAATTTGGGCATTTAAAGAATTGAGGTTATCCTTGGGGGGTGTGGCAGTGGCAGGCTTTTTTTTTTTTTTTTTTTTGTCATTTTTGGTGATATGTCAGCAAATTCCATGAAATGACCTCTGTTCTTTAGGCAGTTCTAGGAATATGGGAAAATTTTAAAAAATTCAGAGCACATTGTACAATTCAGTATTTCAGTAGCATGGAAATTGAGTGGACCCTGGGGAAAGGATCTGAATTATGAGAATGCTGTAATTATATTTGCGTATTATAATTACATTAGTAAATACTCTTATGACACTCAAATTTTTCTTGTGTTTTCTACCAAACATTAGATGTTCTGTTTTGTTTCTCCTGGATTTAAAAAACAGGGAAAAGTCTATCATACCATATATTTTCCTCTTTTGGTGGTATAATTGACATAACATTATGTTAGTTTCAGGTCTATACAATGTAATGATTTGATGTATGTATGTATTGTGAAATGATCATCACAGTAACTTTAGTTACTATCCATAACCATACATAGTTCTAGGGGTTTTATTTCTTATAAGAAATTTAAAGATTTACTCTTTTAGCAACTTTCAAATATGCAATACAGTATTATTAACTATATCCACCATGCTGTACATTACATCCCCATGGCTTATTTATTTTATTATTGGAATTTTGTACCTCTTGACTCCCTTCACTCATTCCCCCCTCCACTCCATCCTCACCTCTGGTAACCACCAATCTGTTCTCTGTATCTATGAACTAGGTTTTGTTTGTTTTTAAATTTTACATTCCACATATAAGTGAGGGCATACAGATTTGTCTTCCTCTGTCTGACTTATTTTACTTAGTATAATGCCCTCACAGTCCACCCATGTTTTTGCAAATGGCAAGATTTTATTATTTTTTATGGCTGAATAATATTGCATTGCATATATATACCACAATCTCTTTATTCATCAATGAACCACTTAGATTGTGTCCATTTGTTGGCTATTTTAAATAATGCTGCAGTGAACATGGTTGGGGTGCATATCATATTTTATCATTTTAACAGTGTAACCTATAAGACAGAGTGACTACTCAATGAATGTTTTTCCTTTTATATCTTAAGGAAGAGAGAGAAAATCCTTCGAAACGGAGTAGAATTGAACGTGATATAGATAATAATCTGATCACATCAACACCAAGAGCAGGAGGAAAACTTAACAAACAGATATCTCGAGTAAGACGGAAAAGTCAAGTAAATGGAGGTTTGTTAATATTTAGATAATTGCTTTATTAGGTACAGGGAGAGATTTGACCCAACATGTTCCTTTTCTGTTTTAAAAAATCTACTTTAAGCAATTTCTGCCTAGTTTTTGTAATCTTCTTTGACTATATATTAGTAGCATGAAATAAAATGAAAATTTACCTTCTTACTATAAATCTACTTTGCTGAATTAAAATGACAAAGGCAGAGCAACTAGCTTTATACTGCTTAGCATGAAAATGTAAATGGAGCAACATTTTGTACTAATAAATTCATTTCTTAAAGCAATATTAGTTGTGACTTAATTTGTAAGTGTACAGATTTAAAATATGTTCTTAATATGTACAAAGAATTTGTTTCTTGGTCAGTAAATTTCAGAGTTCAGAGGGGATTGGATCACTTAGGCCAGCTGTTTTCAACAACAGGTGGTTTTGTTCCCCTGGAGAACATTTGTCAATATCTGGAGATTTTTTTGCTTGTCAGAAACTGTTGAGGGAACACTGCTAAACATCTTCCAGGTCATCTTCCCACAACAAAGAATTATCCAGCCAAAAGATCAATGGTATTGCTGTTGATAAACCCTGTGCAAGCACCTCAAAGTCAAAAAGGAGAAAAACAAGAAGGATAACAGATTTTTCTAAAGAATAACACTTAAGAGCATGGAGCCTTTTAACCAGTGCTACTTTAAACACATAATAATTTCTTAGCTTTTTCCTCTCAGTGCAGTAATGTATCTCTATTGTTGGAATTGACCACTAGGGAGAAAAGGAATAAAGTAGTAAGTTAAAAGAGCTATAGCGAAGAAGGAAAAAAATGAGATAGATAGTAAGGTTGTGGAAGGTTACGGATGATTAATCAAAACATTTGTTTGAATTTATTTTTTAAATATTTTCCAAAAACCCATGGAAAATTTTTTATTAACAAGAAATTTTTAGAAAACTAGTTATTCTTCCTAGCTACTTTGAAATGGTGCCTCACTATCCATAAGTAATTTTTGACACTACTATATATAGTTTTCTGCTTCCGTAGAGCTATGTTGCTGTTATTCATTAGAAATAGATTGGAGGTTAGGTTTTGTGAAGTAGGCAGCATCCCAAAGTATAAATAACTAAAGACAAAAAGTTTGCATTTGTGTTTTTAATATTGTAATTTGCTTTACTTACAAAGAGTTTATTTCATTCTCTGAAACTCTGTGTTGATTTGAAGCCTTTCAGTCTATATAATTCTAGATGTAAATCTACAGTTGACCCTTGAACAACACGGGGGGTGGAGGGGTTAGGGGCGCTAACCCCCTGCACAGTCTAAAATTTACATATAACTTTTGAATTCCCCAAAATTTCAGTTGTCCCTCAGTATCTGTGGAACCCTGGTGGATACCAAAATCTGCAGTTGGTCAGGTCCCTTATATAAGACTAGAAGCCTGATGCACAAAGATTCATGCAAGAATGGGCCTTCCTTCCCCTAGCTGCCGGTACAGCCTTCGCTCCTGCCAGAGACTCCTTTCCACCTTACCATGCTGCCCAGAGGCCTGGAGCTGCTGGGGCGCTTGGCACCTGCATATGCAAATTAACCCACCATTTGGGTTGGGTGGGCGTGTGAAAGTATAGTCAATTTGCATATTTCTCTTTTATTAGTGTAGATGGCATAGAATAATGCATACAATTGGCCCTCTGTGTCTGTGGATTCCCAACCATTATAATAGTATAATAAGTACTGTTGAATCTGTGGATGCGAAACCTAGGGATATGAAGGGCCAACTGTGTATTTATTGAAGAAAATCCAAGTTTAAGTGGACCAACATAGTTCAAACCCATCTTGTTCAAGGGTCAGTTGTACTTTGAAAAACTGAATTTTAGCATCTATAAAGCATTAGACTTTATAGAAGGAATAAGATAGGAAAGTTATAAAGAAGTCAGATTATTAGACTTAATGCTTTATAAATTTGTATCAAGATAATTTGATTTACAAGTGATTTACCTCAAGATTTTTTTAAATAATAAACTTTCCTAACATTAATGTCCAGTACTCTTCATGAAATTTTTTTTGGAAAAAAGTATTTTCAGAATGAATGTCTTAGAACACATTTCTGAAAGCCATGTTTTCTAGATTCCAACTTTTTTGTTATTGTTTTTTCTTAGAAGCTGGTAGTTACGAAATGACAAATCAACATGTAAAACAAAATGGAAAATTAGAAGATAACCCTTCCTCTGGCAGTCCACCAAGGACTACATTGTTGGGGACCATATTTTCTCCTGTCTTCAATTTTTTTTCACCAGCAAATAAAAATGGTAAGTATAAACCATTAATTATAATTTGGGTTTAAAAATTCAATGTTTGTGTTTTTTTAGTTTTTAAAAAAATTCTATTTGATTTTAGTGGCATATATGTCAGCATCTTATGTTTGTTTTAAGTGACTGAAATAAATATAGGATATGTTTAATTCTATTGAAGTGAATGGACTCTGCTTTCACTATCTGAAGAGCTAGATGATAAACTTAGGGCTGGAGGGAAAGTTTTATTATTTCTTTGTTGGATGACTTAATGTAATCCTTAGAATGTGTATATGAAAGAATCTAGAAGCATTTTCAGTATCCTAGATCAATAAAGTATTTTTTAAAATATTTAAAGTGAGTTGAAACAAGATCATTTTCTTGTAACAATTTATTTTTTATTATCTTTTGGTTGACTTCTCCCCTTAGGGATCTTCAATTTAGACAAAATAAAACTACCCTAATTCAAATGAAGTATTTCATTATATAATACTTTTGCAAAAGTATCAAAATAGGCTTCTTTATCAATTTATTTATTTATTTTTTATTTTCTCTTTCAAATCATTTTAATAACGTGGCAGTCAAAATACAAAAAGCAGACTCAAGCTTGTTTTTTTTAAGGGGGGGTGCTACCATGATTGCTTCACACAAGCATGATCTAAGGTAATGATGACACTGATTCCAAAGAGCAAGGGTGGTAAGAAGGCCTCAGGGCTCACAGACTGAAAAGCTTGGTTTCGGAAAAGTCTCAGAGGGGTCGCAGGTGGCAGGAGAGACATGAAATTTAAGGGACCTTCACAGTACAGGGTGTGGTTACCGGGTCATCAGCACCTTGAAACGTTTCTTGATGGTGACTCAGTGTTGAGAGTATTTGTCGTCTGGGGAGAGCCAATCCGGTCAGGGCATGGAGCAGGCATTTTTAGACATTTGTGGAAACCAGTTATCTTGTGGCAGCAATAGAGATAAATGAATTCTGATTCACCTGGTAAGTTGAGTATGGGATAATAAAGAGCTTTGAGGGAAGGGTATTAGAAAAAGAGGGGTTTTTTGGAAAAAGATTAAATTTAAAGCAGTTAGGAAGAATGAATATTCTCTGAGGCAGTTGAGAGTATTGGAGATTGATTTTGTTGTTGAAAACAACTTTTGGAGGATTCTATTATAAAATGGAAAGAGTTGGGAGTCATTCCATAATTGGGCAGCATGGTCATGTAGGTGATGGCTGTGTATAATTAGGAAACTAACTTGAAATCTCATTTCGAATTTGTCCTTGTGTCTTTGAATAAAAGGGTCCCCATGGTCAGGAACAATGTTCTCATTCTGTAACTCTGTTTTAAAAATCACAACTGCCCACAATGTCTAGGATGCTTAGTACTGAAAGGACCAGGAGCTGTTTGAGGATAATGAATATATATAAAATGCCTAGACAGAGTAAGCACTTAATAAATGATACTTGCTTTAATGTAAAGAAGTTTTATAGTAAAATATACTGTGTTATATACTTCAGAGTTGTTAAGAGAAAAAAGAATGATAATTATATATGGGTTAGAGGTGTTAGCTAACAATAGATTAGTAATCATATTGTACTATATCAATCAATATGTACATCTGAAACTTAGTGTTATATGTCAATTATATCTCAGTAAAAATAAAGATGTTCTAAATTATATAACTATTTGACTCCAAATAGGTGTTTCTAAACTATTTGAACACTTTTAATAGTTTTGTTCACAAATACTACTCTAGCTTATAATAGTCTTTATACCTCATTGTTTGAAATGTATATTAAGAGACTCACCAAGCAGTGGTATCCTCAGCTTTGTTTCTATTGTGTTTAGTTTTTGAAATATTTATAGGTTTTAATTATTTTATTTGTATTGAAATATATTTGACATAACATTGTGTAAATCTAAGGTATAGAACATGTTGATTTGGTACGTTTACATATTGTAATATAATAGCTATTATAGCAATAATTAGCACTGCTATCATGGTCCATGATTACCCTTTCTTTTTATTGGTTGGAATAATTAGATTCTAGTCTCTTAGCTAGTTTGATGATTACAATACAGTATTATCTGTATTTACTGTGTATTTGATCTCTAGGGCTTATTTATTAATCGTTGTAAATTTGTGCCCTTAAATAACATGTTTTACTCTCCTACCCCCTATGAGTTTTTAAATGATGATTGTGAGTACCCTGAATCATGATTTCAGGAACATCAGGATCCGATTCCCCAGGACAGGCTGTGGAAGCTGAAGAGATAGTAAAACAACTTGATATGGAACAGGTGGATGAGATCACTACCAGTACTACTACGTCAACTAATGGAGCAGCTTACTCAAATCAAGCAATTCAAGTGAGGCCATCAGTAAATAATGGTTTAGAAGACGCAGAAGAAACAGTTAATCGTGATATCCCACCCCTTACAGGTGAGGAAAATGTCTTAGGCATCTTCAAGAATAGTTGATAGCCCTAGCTGGTTTGGCTGACTGAATAGAGCGTCGGCCTGGGGACTGAAGGGTCACAGGTTCGATTCCGGTCAAGGGCATGTACCTTGGTTGCAGGCACATCCCCAGTAGGGGGTGTGCAGGAGGCAGCTGATCGATGCTTCTTTCTCATCGATGTTTTTATCTCTCTATCCCTCTCCCTTCCTCTCTGTAAAAAATCAATAAAATTATTTAAAAAAAAGGAATAGTTTATAAAAATGCAGTATTTTAGTCCAGCCAATGTGGCTCAGTGGTTGAGCATAGACCTATGAACTGGGAGTTCAGGGTTTGATTCCCAGTCAGGGCACATGCCTGGGTTGTGTGCTTAATCCCCTGTAGGGGATGTGCAAAAGGCAACTGATCAGTGATTCTCTCTCATCATTGAAGTTTCTATCTCTCCTGCTCCTTCTCCATTTCTCTCTGAAATCAATAAAAATATATTTTTTAAAATACAGTATTTTATATTTTTTCTTAAATACTAGATTAAATGCATATTTTTCTTCCTTGAAGTTAAGAAAATTAAAATTGGAAATAAAATTTGTACCCAAAAGTTAGTCATTTTGAAATTGAATTTTTAAAAACTTTGTTGTGATTCAGTATTAATATTTTACAGTTTAATTACTTGTACCAGTTTTACTACTTGGAGAAATGTAACACAACTAGCAAAATATGTGCTTATTTTATGAATGTAATTGTAACAGTCTTAGACTCTTAGGTCTGAAGTTCCTACCTAGAGGTAGTCTCAAATCATAACTTCAGATTTATTTCATACATGAATGACATTCCCCCCCAAAGAAGTTTCTGTTCCTGGATATCTCTCTGTACCCAACTTTTAGAGCTTAATTCGGAATCCTTATAAAGGCCTAACATAATTGTGTTTCTGAGCCAGTTGTCAGAGAAATGTAGAAACACATTAGATCATCATTTATACCTCTGAGGAGTTGTGATAAGTAGACATATAAGACGAAAAGATGAAATTGTTTCATCATGCTTAAAAACAGAAATAAAATTGAGGATGGCTTTTTTTCTCAGAGGGAGAAAATCTTAGATTATTATTTTAGATTTTTTAAAAAGTTCCTTGTGGTGCTAGCTATTTGAGAGAGCCTAGTGCAAATATATTGGTTAAGAAATATAATTTGGTATAAGGAAGTAGGATGATGTTCTTCTGTTGAATATAAAGAGCAGACATTTTAAAAATATATACTTTTATTGATTTCAGAGAGGAAGGGAGAAGGGGAGAGAGATAGAAACATCAGTGGTGAGAGAATCATTGATCGACTGCCTACTGCATGCCCCACACAGGATCAAGCCCACAACTCGGGCATGGTTTATAACCACTGAGTCACTCTGGCTGGGCTAAAAGGGCTAACTTTTATTTTTTTTTAATATATTTTATTGATTTTTCACAGAGAGGAAGGGAGAGGAATAGAGAGTTAGAAACATCGATCAGAGAGAAACATCGATCAGCTGCCTCCTGCACACCCCTCACTGGGGATGTGCCCGCAACCAAGGTACATGCCCTTGACTGGAATCGAACCTGGGACCCTTCAGTCCTCAGGCCAACGCTCTATCCACTGAGCCAAACCGGTTATGGCAAGGGCTAACTTTTAAAAAAAATTCTTGAAATAGCAGAAAACATTTGAAAATTCATACAATTGTGAAACTTCAACTCAATAATGCCAATATGAAGAGAAAAGTGACATAATAGAGGAGAAATTTATTTTAAATTTGTCAAAAGATTAATGCCTATGTTAAAATTATATTACTATCTATAATGTTAAATTATGTTATAATGTAAAAATCATACTGAATCTAACAAGCAAATTAACATGGGTTGTGCACATAGTTTATTCTTGGGTGGATAAGACTTTAAATGAACCTACTGTTGTCCTATCATTTCATGCTGATTACTTTGCCCAGTGTTACAGGCTATTGAATGGTAAAGTCCAGGGCTTTGGCTTCCTATTTGATGTTTGTTCTATATTTTTATTCTACTGTATAAGCCTTTGTATTTATTTTATCTGACAACTGTGAAGATGGGGAAGGGATTTCTATAAGCTTAGGGATTTCTAGAGGGGGGAAAAGTAAGATTTATTCCAGTTGTCTTATTCATTTATTTATTCCCCTAACATTTATTGAACACCTATTTTTGTGATGGGTTTATAAAGATGAGTAAGATATGCCCCTTGGCCCTAGCTAGTTTGGCTCAGTGGATAAAGCGTAGGCCTTGGACCAAAGTGTCCTGGGTTTGATTCTGGTCAAGAGCAGTACCTTGGTTGCAGTGTCCTCCCCTGCCCAGGCCCTGGTCAAGACTCCTGCAGGAGGCAACCAATCGATATGTTTATCTTACATTGATGTATCTCTCTGTCTTTCCCTCTCTTTTACTCTCCCTAAAAACCAATGGAAAAAGAAAATGGAGGGCAGTTCTGGTTTAGTTAATTCTCTGTAGTAGCTGAGGAGGCATTGCTCTGAGGAGGAAGTACAAATACAAAAACTAATAAACCTTTAAAAAATATATATGTATATGCCCCTTGACCCCAAAGAATACATGAGTTAATTGATGAGCCAAGTATACACAAAAATAACTATGCACTCGACTGGTGTGGCTCAGCAGTTGAGCATTGACCCAGGAACCAAGAGGTCACTGGTTCAATTCCCAGTCAGGGTACATGCCCGGGTTGTGGCTCAGTCCCAGTAGGGGCCATGCAGGACACGGCCAATCGATGATTTCCTCTCTCATTGATGTTTCTATCTCTTTATCTCTCTAGAAATCAATAAAAAACATATTTAAAAAAAATAACTATACAGTGTGGTGAGTGCTATTAAAAATAAATGAGCAATGGAATATTACTCAGCCATAATAAAGAATGAAATCTTGCCATCTATAACAATATAGATGAATCTAGAGCAGGGGTGGGCAAACTTTTTGACTCGAGGGCCACAATGGGTTCT